AATGCACAGCCTAAAAACTTGCCATGTCCATAGTTGATTATCATTCCTGCACATGAAGTGCTGATACATGTCTAGTAAAGTTTTCAAACAGGGCTGGAATGAACCAGCGGCTTTTCAGAAATAGGTTCATTGTTATTCTTCCAAGAAAAGGAGGAAACGTGGTTACCCAGCAGGCACAACACAACACTCCCCGGAAGACCGGAAAAGGAGAAAATGAGCAGTATGCTTCCCTAATAGCCTGGATTACAAGTACATTGTACATATATTGTCACCAGTCCAAGAAATTATTAGTACACATTACAGTCTTCCCACAGAGGATGTCAACACATTCCCCAAATCCAACCGGTTCTGTGCTGGTTTGCCATCTGACATTGAACACCTGTTGTGAAAACACAAGTTCCATATCCCACCACTGTCTGCTCCACTGGTCAGTCAAGTCAGTAACTCCTTCGTCACTGCTTTGCTGAATCATCAATTGAGCTAACTTGAACCCATAGTAAAAAGAAATAAGAGTATGCTCATTTAAGTTATGGTTGTAAAAAGTGTATGTGACTTGGCACAAGTTCTTGTATGTGTTCTCAGGTGAATAAAGTCTGAAAAGAAACACTTCATTTTGCTTTTTATTTTGGTTACAAGTTGCCATGCATGGAATAGCATCAAACCTTACTAAGGCTGATGTTCCTCCGTGTTATGGGTCATGCTCAAGTACACACTGGTCTGGGTTTCTAGTAACTTGGGATTGGGAAACAGTTCAGAAGGCAGTAGCTTTGAAACAGTCTAGCCATTGTTGGCTTTTGACAAGAAAAAAAGTTATAATTGTGACATTTCACTGACAATGCAAAATATCAAGCCTGAAATATCTATTGAAATGTTGTAACAAGGACATTATGTCCTTGGTTGTAAGAACTTTGTTTTGCTTGGTAGGTGTGAACATTTTAATCCTGTTGTTTCAACAATACACTTCCTATGTCATTCATTTTGTGTTTCATTCTCTCAGGAGCGAGCCAATACTTCTGAAGCCATTTCCACATAGATTACTAGTATCAAGGCTAAAAATTACCATCAGAAGTAATTCCTTGGTCATTGGTAGATGCAGGCAGTCCAAGGGTTGTTCAAGAAGGTGGGGTGGAGATTACAGTAGCATGAATAAAACATTGTGTGAGCTTGTCAAAATACTATCTTATCCCTTTTTAGTTTTTCTTTCAACTGTGAATTGTTTTCACACAGGTGTGACCTATTGTCTGTGAACAAAGACCTTGAGAATAGAGTTGATATAGACAACACTACAGCTCACCTGCTGTTCTCTTGTGTTGTATACAGACAAGTTTAAACTACAGAAGATGCTTGCTAGTATAATACGCCTCCCCTGCAGTGTGACAAGACACCAACATTTGGCTGAACAAAAGCCTGCTGAGAGGATGTTTTCAATGAAAAAAGAGTTTGGCGACTTTTCAAGTGTTGTTTAACAGACACCTGTGTGTAAGAAATGAAAGTTTGTAGAGAAAAGACAGGTGTTAATGGACCACTTAGTATGCTGAAGTAAAGAAGGTAGACAGTGATCAAAGAACATAATTCTCCTAGGAGAAAAATTACTGAATCAGAAAAATGATTGCTTTTTTTTCTTTAATTTCTAGTAATAGGGACTAGACCCAGAGGTTACAAAGTACTGCTCAATGCTGATGCATGTTGAACTTTACCCTATCATGGTAGATGTTATTTGTAATGTACTGGAAGAAAACTTGGCTATCATGTGCAACTTATCGTATACATGTAGGTGCGGTCCCCTTCCACTATCAATTATCGATGTTTGGCTGCTTAGCAGGTATGAACTTCAGGTCAGAAAAGATCATGGGTGTGATTAAATCCAACACTCAATAATAATGGCATGAATGATTGGAACAATTTGATTTTCTCATGCATAGTGAGCACCAACATGTCAATTCAATGATTATTGACAATATGGACTTCATTCTCATGTGCAACTCTCACTAATTTTGTCTATTTGATATAGTTATCAATAAGTAGCAGAAGAGCTGCTCATTCTAGCATCAGTGATCCACTCCAAAGATTCGGAAACAGCTATATTGCCATGGGCAGTCTAGAAATATTTTACATCTAATATCTTCTTTGGGGGACTCAGTCAGTACTCGAACAGCTGGATTACTTTGCTAGAGAAAGGCATGTGTATTTCAAAGTCCTTGGCCTGCTGTACCAAGTTGGGTGGCAAAGTAATCCTGAGGGTGACAGTCACCTGGCTTGTCAGTCCTCATAGCAGTGCCAACATTAAACCTTCTCATGGCCATTGAGGACAATGTGTCCACAATATTGCAGTTTGTTACTCAACCCTGTTGGGATTACTAGTATACCAAAGGGTAGCCAGAGTGAAAAATTATAATATTATGGTCTTCTGCCTATATTGTTACTACCAGACCTGACAGGGTCTCTTGTAAATCTCTTTTCAAGACAACGCACTTCCTTCATTAAGGTTCTCTGGACTCACTGAATTACATAAACTTTTCCCACAAAAGAAGTGTGAAAAGTTGCTTTGAAAGAAGTTCATGTCACTAGGATATTTTGTGGCAATATGCATATATTTCTGGAGACAATTGTATGTAGTTTGCTTTAGAGTCTAGTTGCTATTATCCATATCAAGGAAAATCATTTGCTGGCTCCACAGGCGGAAAGCAACCTTCTCTCGGCGGCTATGTAGGATGGCCGGCTATATTAAAATAACGTGTTAAAATAAACTCTTCCCCACCGCCGCAGGGCCTGCACAGGAGGCTACTCCATGGGTACCATTCCGTAGACAACTGATGTTTTGATAATTCATTTCCCAAAAACCCCAGGTGCACAATGTGACATGGTTGACTGACATAATGCTTAAGAGATAGGTACCCTGCTGTTTCTATTTACTTACTAAAACTTACTTGTCTTCAGGTTGTAAATAATTCATTCTGAAAATTGAGAGCAGGACTTAAATAATGTAATGATCTCTAATTGAAAATCTATTGCTCCACAAGGAAGTCAACAGACACAGTGCATGTATAATTCATGAACATGTTGATGTTCAATCTCTTCATGGAGGTAAAATTCCTTTTTTCTACCTCCATGATCTCTTAGACCACGCCAACAGCATATCACTCCATTAATGCTATTGCTTGTATGGCTTCACTTCACTATCCTGTACAGGTCTAACATTGTTATCATTGAACAATGGTTAAATGTAAGCCCATGTGAAATGTCAACAATTCCCATTTTTGTCTTCTAAGAAGAAAATCAATTCACTTGCATATGTATAAATTGTTGATGTTACTGCCAGCCCAGGCAAAAAGCTGGACCCACAAGTTATAAATATGAAAATGAACAAAAGATTGGAATATAAATATAGCAGCAGGATGTTTGTAGTTCCTTGGTCTTCTGTTTATGTTTTTCAAAAGTGATTGGCAATTAGGACTATCCAGAAATGCTTCAGAGGCTTTTGTCATACTTCAAGTGCTATTTTTAGAAATGTTTCCATATCCAGAGATTTTATCAGTTTCCAAGATAGCACTGATGTTTACAGGGATACTCGCTTTGAGCAATATCAATTATAATACCAACGTAATTCCTGCAAATCACTTGCTTCAGGCTTGTTACTCTTATGCCTGACACTGCAGTAACTTACTTACATCTGGCCTTTTTCACTAGGAATTGTCAAAATGTAAAAAAAAAGACTTGTGAAGCTATCTGCTGTGCACACTTGAACTTGAGAATTCCTGTCATGCAATGTTGTAGACTGGTATGAAATATCACAGAGACTTGCAATAGGGCAGCTACATCTGTGTGATAAATTGGAGTTCAGGACATTGAACTTAGAGCAGCTGCAGCCCACTTCATTGATATGGACCTTTAGACTGAGTGTCACCCTGCAGATGTGGTGGTTCATGGACAACTCCAGATACTAGTAAGCCATGGTAGGTTTCATGCAATCACAGAATCCTGAAGAGTCCAAGTTTATGGTATATTCCAGTTATGTGATCAGATTGATTCATGACTTGTCTAAGCCTGGTACATTTCATGTATTGAACAAAGAGCCTTGCATTTGTTGTGATTTTCCAGCAGACATTAGGGTGTAGCCAGTGATTGACAGGTGATGCTTATCAGCAGGGGTGAAAGGTAGCTTTCCTGCCCACAAAAATGTGGTAGGATGCCTACCTATGTCTTCAGGGGTCAACTGCTTCAGGCAATCGGATCTTTGTTATGGAAGTCACAAATTAAGGTGACATTTTATGACCTTTTAGACTACAGTTAGGTAATGTGACTAAACAGTACAGCAACAACTCAGTCAGTGAATCTGCAGCCTTGAGTCTCAAGAAAACACTTAAGGAGCAACATGGAACTATGATTCCCACATTGCATTGTTCCTGCTGGCCACACAATTCATCACGTTGCCAGAGAAAGCCTGGAGCCAGGGCACCCGGCTACCTTTGATCACATTCAGCCTATTGTGAGGGTAGCTAACAGGAGTTGGGTGGCTGCCATTCACTCTTTTTCAACCATGCTTGAAAGGCTAGATCCCCAATAAGGTTGGACATTCCTTTCCTAAAAGAATCTCATCACGGGACTGCTTTGTGTTAGTAGCTTTGTGTAACAGGCAATGTTTCTTACAAAGTCAAACCAAGAGACAAACATGTACGTTCCCAAACCAGCTGACAGTTCAAGATATACTGACTTTTCATTCAGATTGCTATCAGCAAGGTATGCAGCGGAGCATGTTTTTAATTGTGTGAACATTCAACAGTGTAGACCAGTGGTGAATCTTATATTGTAACCATTCAGAATTTTTTTTCACTTTTTAAATGCCACAATCTATTTTAGTTATTGATTTTGAAAGGACAGTGGCAAAGGGTTGCTCTCAACACAATTCTTAAATGTCTCATAGTCAATCTGAATTTCTTGCACTGGTTGTAAATCACACTACCAAAAGTATACTACATGTACCAAAATTCAGTCAATCACCATTCTGTCTTAGACATCATTCTTGTTTATTTCATGTTCCGATGCAACATTTTTGACACAGGAATGTGCTTTAAACTTTCAGCATCACATGCTTCTGTACCAGTCTTGCCAATTTTTCCATGACTGTCATGAGAAAATCCAGTATGTAACAAGTATATTTACACTTTTGCTCAGCATGGAAAAAATCTGACAATGAAACTATTGACTGCATTCTGTTCAAAAGGAGTCAACACAAGCTCTGCAGGGAGACTAACCAGTGGAAGGAATAAACTTTGTGTTGAACAGTAGCTGACTTTCTGAAAACAACATTGCTGGGCACTGATGCCTCTGAAATGTCTGGAGCTGAAGGAATAAAAGGTCAATATACAACAGCTTATGTGTCCTTGTTTATGACTCCGGTGCACAAAACTCATGAGACAAAAATGGCCAGTAAAAGTGGAAATGCTATCATGACATACACATGTACATATGAAAGAAAACTGAGCAGATTTAGGCAAGATGCAACAATTGTAACACAGCTAGCTCTCCAAATACGTTAGTTTCAATAAGCAAACTACAATTGCCCCTTGTGTTGAATTCCATTATATTACATGATAAATAGCAAAATATTATGTACAACTTTGTTCCACCTTTAGACATTCAGCAAACAGGTTGGTAACCATGACAACTGTTCAGTTGCATACTAGTGTTCCTTGAGTAAGAAACAGGCATCAAGACTTCTGAACTTCTGTTTACCTGTGAGGAACTTGTTCTTGTTGCAGCATATATAAACTTTTCCCATACAAGTCCTTGGGAAAGTTCCTGATTTCATTAGTGTCACTATGATGCTAGAAAGCAGCAAAACTTTTTCCAGCCCTCCTTTGCCTTTTCCGTTGCCAATGAACTCCTGTTGGGTTTTGGTTTGGCCTTGTTGGGCTGCTTCACAGGCTTGACAGGCTTAGGCTTGTACGGCTTGTCCTTGCACTTCTTTCCTTTCCTGCTGTCCTGGTACTCAATTCCACTGATGATTGCAGAGTCAAATGCCTCCTTCAAGTTTTTCTGAGTCAGTGAGGAGCACTCCATGTATGCCATGGCACCTACTTCATGTGCCCGCAACCGAGCTTCTGATTCGCTTACTGGCTTCTCCCCATATCTTGCCAAGTCAATCAAAACATTCACACTTTCTCTCAAGTCCGACTGTGTCCCCACTAGAATGATGGGGGTCTTGGGGCAATGTCTCCGAACTTCTGGTACCCACTTCTCTACCAGGTTGTTGAAGGAGGTTGGGCAGACTACACTGAAGCACACGAAGAACACGTCGGTCTGTGGGTAGCAGAGTGGCCGTAGATTATCAAACTCATCCTGGAAGAAAAGACAAAAATAAAAGGATGAGTGGTGTGGTAACATCAAAGGTCTGGGGATAATCCTACTTTAAATAAAAACAATAAACTTGCTTCCCACACAAGAAAGCCTGGGACCCCATGTTCTGATGACTTGTAAACTAGCCAAGGCATTGTGTACCAAATCAACTGATGAGGCAAGCCTCGAGTTCTCACGGTCCTGAGCAAAGCTGGCCCATTGTTTGGTATGGTAATAGCACAAGCCACAAAAAGGGACACCATCAAACAAGATTAATCCAGTGTCAGCCAAATTAATATACCTGCAGTGCAGGGACAATGGTGTGAAAAGCAAAAACTGAGAGACATGGGAAAATGTCCCAAAGCCGATACTGGGATACATAAACAGTCCACTCATTGAATGTAAATAAACTGTTAAGTGATAACAAGATGTGTTTCTAACTAACATTTAACAATTATCACCTCCTCCTCTTTTGTTCTGTTAGAGATCTTCAAAATTGCTTTTATTCCCGACAATATATTGAGGAACAGGGAGAAATGGATTTTTTTTAACTTAGCGGAACCTTCTTCTTTAGGGCGAGCGGAAACGATCTCTGGTCATTTTGTGTGAAGGCAATCATGCGTCTCTGACCCCTGACAGTTGCTGGTTATTCATGCATGAAACACGGTGGGTGAACAAGCCAGCAGTCCGATACAGACCACCCTTAGCCCGGCCTCCCTCCCTGCTAAGGTTTCCACCCAAGAGAAGAACGCGCGGCTTGCGTTTCAGTCCGACCAAGTAAATACTTATGAGGCCAGATCGGCACACACACGGCCCAGGGTACACAAAGGGAGGGAGTCACGGTAGACGGACTCGGACTGATGTAGGTCGTGTGGGTGGGCGCGAGGGGTGCATAACAACACACAAGAACTCAAACTCACCTGTCCCGCTGTGTCACAGAGCTGTAGTCTCACAGGCTTCTCGTCCACTGTTACCACCACTGTACAAAACACAGAAAACAAGCGCGTGTGAATGTTGATGTTACATCGAGGTGTCAAGTTGCCATCAGACGTGTGTGTTTTACATTGCATACGTCTGGACAGAGTCAAAACCTGAGAACCGCCAAAACATTACTAGTAATGACATCGTGGGGAGCAAAATTATTCTGAGAATGAGGGGCGTTTCATTTCGGGAACCCATTGTGCGTTTGATTCATGTAATAGTTATGTTCAAGGATTCCGGAGACGTTACATGTTGTTGGAGGACATTCTTGTGGGAAAGTTTCCTCACACGACCCACCCCGTAATTACCACGATGGTGAAAATATTCCCTCCCACATCGAGACAAATATAGGAAAGCTCTCAATGTTTTAACTTAGCGTGTTCTTATCTAACGACAATCAAACAGCTGTTTTATACAAAAAATGCAACAGCCTTGATTGAAATCGTTAGAAAACCCGTCACAGATGTAAGACTGGGAACACGATGTGGCAAATTATGCAAGAATTCCACAGGCTATCTGTCAAGCAGTCACATGAGGACAGTAGAGCACGTTGAACATTTGTACTCAAAATTAACCATAATAGCAGACTCAGAAAACCAAATTTTGTACCAGGTGACGTATGTGAAGCTTACCTGAGTAGTTGTCGAATGCCGTAGGCACGTACTCAGTAGGGTAGCCGTTCGTGGTATAGCTGACGACCATGCTTGTTTTGCCCACCGCCCCGTCTCCGACAAGTACGCATTTTACCACTCTTTCGGAGGGCGACATTCTACCGTCCTCCGGTAACAGCGGACTTGTGGTGTGTTCCAGGAGTTGAGGGGGCATGTCCCTTGTTGTAGTCCGTATGTTCAGATGAGTGGACACTTTTGGGCTTGTGACCTAACGCCGAAAACACGGGCCCGCCGGGGTGGGTGGGACCTTACGCTGCCAAGCTGCCGTGATCCGAGCCCACAAGAATCACCAAAACACTGACGTTCTTCGCCGATCGTGTCAAACCGAAGATTATCAAATTCACAAGGAATAGACTGGACCACGACGCCACGATCAACAGCCAATAGTTTCACCTAAAACGTCTGCGAGTCAGATATTTTGACGCGTACGCCTCTTGCGGGTCGGGAACTGGAAGTGGTACCAGTTGCCACAACTGCTGGCTACATGTACGGCTCTAGGTGCCTGTTGATTGGTTACCGCTGACAAATGACATCACCAGTACAGCCATTGGGCATTTCGGCGCCTTTGATCCTCCCCGACCAATGGGTAGCACGGATTCGCATCACTTATTAGTGGCTGAGTCAACGTGATCTGACTAATATGTATGATAATTGTCGACGTTTTGGTGTTTTTCGTAGATCTGAGAGGTGAATAGAAGCAAGCCACTGTTACTAATAACGTTAACAAACAGACGCTACCAGATAGTACCAGTAACCATTATTTTTCTAACGGCTTTCCTGAGTCACGCTAACTTCCATAATTTTAAAAATCAACAAACGCCACGTCCATGATCAATGTAACATTTAGGATTTTAACTGTTAGCGTATAGAATTACGTCAGGACTACAAACACAAGCAGCTCACAGTCTACGGTTTGCGACACGGGTCGTCACGCAATACATTAATAGATTAATATTACATCACCCTTGTTTGGTGACAGTCACGACGTTTGAACAAAAACAGGTCCTGACAAGCTCAACAAAAAGCTATGACGTGTCTTGCACACCAGACAGCCGGCGGTCATTGTTTCTAACATAGCAGACCCTGTGAAATGAAATCCGTTGATTTTACAACCTAACTTTAACAATATTTTGTTGGTAATGAAGTGCTATTTCAATTTCGCTAGACCCTCCTTGCCGTTGTGACTTCATTTTGCCTACATCATTATATAATTTTTTCGGCCGGAGGGAGATCCGACGCGCGGTCGGGCTGGTACCTCGGGCGATACGGAATACACCGTGTTGTATTCTATATAGAACATGCCTAATGCCTGGCAACTGAGGAGTAGTGGTAAGACCAGATGAGCACAGCTTTTCCTTTATAATAAAACTATTTCTTCAGAGAGGTCATTCATATCTTTGTGTGTGTCTGCTTGGGAGGGCACACCAAGTTGTTCACAGTAATAGTACTACTAGTAACACGTAACGTTACATGATTATATAAGTCCGCTGAGTCGCCGTCATAGTTTCAACCCAAAACAAGTATGTTATATGTTTCCTCTCTCTTTTTTTAGGTCACGGAGGTACCACAAGCAGACGTCTCTGTTGTTGCACCTCCCACTACCACGCCCACAGTGTTAACCACAACTCTGAGGACAGGTAGTTTGTAACGCTGCTGTCGTGTGCTCAGGCCATGTGCGGACGTCTAATACTTCCTCCCTCTGCAAATGGTCCGCCCTAAATTCAAACAGGTGGTTGACCGTAGGCTAATTTTAGGTCCTTACAAATGTACATGGGACTCAATCAGGCAACACTGAGAACGTTGGCAGCGACCTAACGGTTATTTAAACGGTCACAGGGGGACGTTTCATGATGTAATGTTTTGGTGTTGACTTTCAGACAAACGGGTCAACGCCAAGAGTAACGGTAAAGCGTGTCAAAGACGACATCAGCACTCCATCTATTCATGAGGCGGGCGTCTTTTGAAATGCTCGAGAGGAAACGGAAACAGCGAACCTCGCAACCTGAAAACAAAGCAGCAGAAAACATGTACACAGCCGCTGCTCGGATTTAGTTCCATTATACAATGACCCTGGCCTTGTGAGGCACGCGATCGGAATGAGAACACAACGTTCATACGGAACGTTACACCATCCCCACGCCGCGCACCAAGTGGTCCCCCTGGCGGCACCTGACTTACCTTTCAACCCTTTCAGTAACACCCAGGGTAACACCGGTTCAGGGGAAAATACCGTCGCAGAATGTAAATATTTGTATCCGGAAGGCAGCACGGGTCACCCTACATGGCCAGGATATCTGTGAATACCCCACAGCATTGTCTTGTGCAACGCCGTTTTGGCTTACATTAGGCAAGGAGACCCAGAAAAAGGACGCGGATGTCGGTCCGTGCCGCGCTATTTAGGACCATTTAGATCATGTCAGACCAAGCGTAAGCTCGACACACTGTCCCAGATCAAAAGAACGGGCGCGCGGCAACAAATTGTCTTGTCTACCTGGTGGTCTTCTTCCTTACAGGAGGTCTTTCTTATTCTGATCTTGGTTGTGTTTTTAGTTTGTCTACAGTGCGTCTGTTCCCGCAGCACCTGTAATGACCCTCCTTGTATTTTCGCAATGGGTCCGAAATTTTTACCCAGTCTTCATTTTTATATATTTTACCCAGTCTTTGATTTAAATGCTGTATAATCCATATATAGTGTACCTATACCATGACAAGTGACAACTACCTTGCCTTTTTATGATACAAAGGCAAATTCTGTATGGAATTACCGAATTCAAAGCTTTTTTGTCAGTACCTCTAAGGAGGCCACGATCAATGTCGGAAAATTGCCTTATGCTTTTTGTCAATTACACCCCTTCAGGGAGGTCAAACGGCAGACAACATGCCCTCCTCCTCGTGTGAAATAATGGACCCCAAAATTAGCTCCTTTATTCTGACCTACATGTCAAAGACAACTTCCGCAAATGTGGGAAGTCCTGTCACCTGGTATCTCCTCCCCCCGTTATCACCGGGCAGAATTTTCCCACGAATTCCCCACGAACTGTTGTCCCAGTGGAGGCGGGCGGCGAGATGCGGTAATCGGTATGTATGAGTATCACCTTTGTGTGGAGATGACATACTTCACACCGTAGCGCGCCCTATTGTTGTCGGCCCGATTAGCATGAAGGCGATGAGAGATTCCCGCGGAGAGGGACAGTAGTCCAAATGCGCGGAATCTGTAGTCGTGACTTTTCCCAGCATTGTCTTCACGGGCAAAATTCCACCACCCGTTCTTCTCTGAACATCTGATGAGCGCATCGTGAGGTCACGATGCGGGCACTGCGTTTACTTCCATGGTTACAGAAGAAGAATAACTTAACCGTAGTGAAGACATGACATGACAAGATGTTGTACATGTACAGTATAGCGTTAGAAACCATGTACTGATCGTTGACGAAATAATATCTGTTAGCAGATTTAATCAAGAGGAGAAGATCGCGACGTTTTGTTATTATGCTCTGTATTCTGACCATTCTTTTGGAACAAGGAGTCAACTTCTTGGTTGGAGGAATCCTTGTTCTTGGAGGTTACTGTACTATGGATACGAAGCTAACGTTATTATTGTTTCCTTGTAGACCTGCTTGCCCTATTAAAAGTGACAGAGCGACTTTCTACACGTCAGGTTCACTGGATTCTCAAAGTGATTTCTCGAAACAGACGGTGGATGTACTAGTCAACGGATATAAGGGTCGGCATGGGGATATTTCCTGACAATGGATTCGTTTTTAATGTCAATGAATAGACGGGAAAATGGGATGATAAATACATAAATCATAAACTTATGATAAAGTAAACAAGACGGGACCTCCCCTCTTTCCAGCAGTTTTCTGAAGTGACAGTTCTCAGATAAATGTTAAACCAAGGGATTTTTAACCTCGACCTCGTTGGTTTAATCATAATCAAGGAGCGAGGTTTAACACAGTGAATTTTCGTCTAGAAATTTTAATTTGCACACATTTTAAGACCAAGGTTAGGAGCTTCTATCAAAAGACACGGTACATCTAGTGACAGAATGGTGGCGGTTCCTGGTGGAGGAGAACATCCTTGGTGACGGAGTCTGCACAAAAAGGATGTCCTGGCGCCGGTTTTTCCTTGCGTCACTGCACGAACTATTGACTCTAGATTACCCGTAACAAATTAGCATTACTGGCTTGTGTCAGAAGAAGCCTAGGAAATCTATTTGTCAGATTCCCAGACGGCACCATGCATTGACTGAACCGGACCCCTCAACAACAGCCCAAAGCACAAGAACCTCACGTGGTGAAGTACATGCTTTCTGATCGGTACCGCCACTTCTCATTTACATCTCCGAAGAGAGGAAACACATTGATTTCCATGACTACCATAGACGAACTGCAAATATGTGTTTTGGACAACTTTTTGGCGATACAATATCCATTCATCATCATATTTCATCTCTTTTTGCAACGGAAAAAAAAGAACTCAATGAGAAAAAGAGTAACAAGTTCCAAACAGGATGGAAATTGATAAATAATGTCGAGGTATTGTCCCGCCTAACCTCGCCCCTTGTTAGGTTGAGTGGATGACCTTTGGGCTTACGTAGAACTGACGTGACGTGACCCGAGGACGGAAGGGTTTGTGACGCCAGTGGCAAATTGAAATCACACGTAGTAATCATCGCCTTTTCCGGAAAAGTGATTTGGGCTGTCGCTAAAGGTTGTCGCTAAAGGTTGATCGCTAAAACCATTTTCTAAACCTCAGAACAATTAGTTCTGTGTCCTCTTGACAGCCCCTGTCTTGCATGAGCACCCCGCTATCCGTGGAAGAACCCCACAGAAGAGAGGCGGATGTACCTGGAGGCGCACAGTTTGTCCATCTCATGGTCTGTCAGACTCCATTTGGAAGTTTTGATAAGTTGCCATGAAGACCATCCGGACAGACTGTTCAGTGGCACGAATCAATGCACGGTATAGAATCAATGTCGTCATGCTGCTCTGATGAGAGGATCGGTCAATTTCAGGTCAAATGCTTTCGACTCATCGAAGGTTGGTATGTATGACGTTTTGGGGCACAACTTTGTACGCATACCCGTTTTCCTGCAAGCTTCTAGGATGTGACTCCATATTCTGCAACGGAACAGTGTTTTCTCGCGAAAGAACAAGTGCAGAAGTTTATTTTGTTACACAGTCTCAAGTCTGTACAAATAACGTGCTACGTACCTGGAAGTTTATTGCACTTCACGAATGACGCCTCACGCACAGAAAAGGGCATGCCCTTAATCTCCAAGCAGATCTTTTGGTGGCCAAAAAAGATAGTATCCAACACGCGGACAGTATCCAGCCGGCCGACAGTATCCAACCGGCCACCGAAGGCCGGCTGTCAGAAAAAAACGGGGCATAGAAAAAGGTCACAATCTTCCCATTCAACCTTTGCTTGGAGAGTACATGCCCTAGCCTCTCAAGAGCGGGTCGTTGCGGGGATGAGGTGCTTTTCCTATTGTAATCTAATGTTAAATAACAAAGTTTAAAATTTTCTCATGATTTTCTCGTAACAGGTGACCTCAGCGTCTGGAATACGCCCGAGCTGAGTGTGTCATGAAGAAAACTGGGAATATTAAACCCAGGAAGACGCTCCACGCCCGGTTTAGGTGGTAACTTGTAAACATCGTCCTAGATACTCTTCAGATGAACCTCCTTGAGGTGAAATGGAGCAAGAACATAGAATTTTGAAATAACTTGCGACAACTGTTCCCAAAGGGCTGATGTTGTACTTTGTCAAGCAACCGCTGTGAGCGCTGCTTCGTGGTCCAGTGAATGTATGTTGCAGTTACATCTAATCTTTTAAGAAGAACTTTATAGCACTGCATTTGCATATGATACGATGTATTGCAACAACAAAGTAGAATAAGACTTAATAAATAAGACCTAATAAATCCTAATTACTCAAACAACAAGGGCTACCACAAGTTTATCGTTGATATCGTGTTACAATCGAGTGGGGTTTATATAACAATCATGGTAACAACTGTCATTGAATGATGAACGTTGCATTCATCTATTTATCATCATGATTAACGTGCACTTGCATATGATACGATGTATTGCAACAAGTAATGAACAACATAGAAACAAAGTAGAATAAGACTTAACTAGAGTCCCACAATCTCATACCTTCGCCAAATGATGTTAATCTTTATGACTGACAAAGATGATTCCTTCTGATTATGCAAATAAAATCTTCATTTGTATTATATTTATATTATAATATTGTATTATAATATTGTATTATATAGTTGATCATATTCTCCATCAAAAGACAGCCTTATCTTAGCAAAGAAAGCCATTCTATCATTTCCTCATAAATTATGCAAATGAGGTCCTTATTTGAATAAGTTATGTTTAATGATGTTCACCTTCACTTAACTTTCAAATACCCCAAGTATGAAATTCCAGGCAGTTAGCATTATGGAATTATAACATTTTCTCATTAATTATGCAAATTAGGTGTTAATTTACATAATCAATATCTGCCTGTGTTTCTCTCGTTCTCAATTACATATGTCACAAGCTTGAATAGTCCTATACTGTAATGCACCTGAGTTATAGAAATTCCCCATTAATTATGCAAATTAGATCCAGATTTGCATAATTGTCGCATAATTATGTCAAGCGTCACTTGAGCTACCTACATACCAAAAATCACGACGATCTGTCCACCGGTTCTTGAGTAAACCTCTTTTAAATATTTTCAAGCAGATAGCCCTGCAGTTCCTGAGCAAGCCGCTAGGGGGCCCAAACTCGTGTCACTTCTTCCCCAGCATGAGACCTACCTACCATCCAAATTTCATGACCCTAGCATGATCATGAGATATCAAAACCGGAAGTTTAGCTGCAGTACCATAACAAGCCGCTAGGGGGTCCAAAATCTAATCATTTCCAGGTCTCATCAAGACCTACCCACCTACCAAATATCAAGATAATCCATCTAAGCTTTCTCGAGTTATGCTGTTGACAGACAGACACACAGACACACGGCCAGGAAAACATAACCTTCTTGCCGAAGGTAATAAATAAGACCTAATAAATCCTAATTACTCAAACAACAAGGGCTAGCACAAGTTTATCGTTGATATCGTGTTACAATCGAGTGGGGTTTATATAACAATCATGGTCATTGAATGATGAACGTTGCATTCATCTATTTATCATCATGATTAACGTGCACTCAGAGTAATTTGTCCTCGTATTTAGCACTCCTAGGTGTATTCCTTACCGGAACAGCTAGCTATTGTCTTGCAATCATTGAAGAAGCAGAGGAAGCAAACAGGTGGTGGCTTTTACAACAGAAGCGCTATCTTGCGGTATATTAGTTGCACTGCATCTTAGTGGGCACAACGCTAAGTCGCTAAGTGTAAAAGAACCCGACCAAAATTATCTTTTTTTAACGCAACGTGAATTCCGATGCTTACTTTGGTGACACTTCATGTCAGCTGGAACTATTGGTGCGTGTTTTTTGGGGGAAAGATTGGATAAGTCTAATGAGCTTTTAGAATCGATGTCGTTATGCGGTAAGGTTAGACCGAATCGACAGGAGCAGAATAATTGGCTAGTTTCAGTCATGACACAATGGGACGGTAAAGGGGGCAAAGGGGCGTTATCGGTCGGTCGGACAGGTCCTGCAGGTTCTGTCTGAAATATTGTGCAGAAAGCCGGACAACAGCGCCATGCAGAACGGTTGTAAGACATCGGACCGAAGCTGGTGCAAAATGGCAATCAGTGATCCCCTTTTAAGGGAGTTGCAGTCGATCCTGAAGAAGCTGAAGGAAGAGCCCCAGCCCATCACCGACTACGGTGTGTTATTGAAGCCTCTGTGTGAAACACTGGAGAGGATATTGAGGAAAGGCCTGAAGCAGCCAGGGTCCCTGTTTGGCATCAACAAAAGAGATTACTGGTCATGGATGGAGTCAACCCCAAACTACGTGTGCAATGACAAGTACAATCCTTTCCTGAACCGGGCCATAGATCTAACGAAGTCGTCTCCCAAGTTACGTTCTTTGCAAGGAAGAGGCAGGTGCTTCATCAGACTTGCACTGGCCAAGAAAATCGTGAGCGTCCCTGTAGAACATCTGCTCAGAAATGCAAGACTAACAGAGTACTGGTACGATGCTGGCCTGTCTATCATTGCTAACCCACCGCTAGCAGAAACCTTCATGTCTTTGTTGTTTGCCTTGACTGACATTAACTTTGAACTTGATGTGAAGAATGCCAGTTTCCTTGATGAGTCCTGGGTCATCCCTGTGTACAAGAGACTGGAACTGGTGCCATGTAGCAGTCTAGGGATGACCATTAGATATCTGGATAACAGAATTTTTGTGGTGAAAGTGGATGAGAATGGAGTTGCTGGAGAAGACAACAAGATCGAACCAGGAGACATTGTGGACGAACTCTACCAAGAAAGTCTGTACGGCTGTAAGCAGGGGAAGGTGAACAGTCTGCTGCGGGAGCATCAGGGCTGGCCTGTGTACATATCTGTCATCAAATGTAGGCTTCCTGATGGAACCATCTATCCACCACTGGTGAGCAAGATAAGGAAGCTCAAGGAAGAGCTCAAGGAATTTGAAATCAAGGAGCTGAACAAGAAAGGCCCAGCTCCTATGCCAGCACATGCTCTCCTACCCCAGGATTATCCAGAACAAGCTCCAGTACATGACCCAGAAGGAAAAGCAGAGTTTAATGCAAAATATGTAGGGCAGGTGTCCACCGGGAGATATGGTGATGTTGCAGAAATAGAGGGCGCTGTAGAGAAAGCCATACAGCAAAACAAACAGCAAGAGATAACTGAGAATAAGGAGGTTCATGTTGAGCTGACAGAGACAGAGGTCATCATCACCGACTTAAAAACTAGCAATGAACTGTCCAAACATTCCTACACTGAGATCTCCTCCTGTGGCAGACGTTCCGACATGACAAAGTACTTTGCCTTCATTGCTGGGGACACACAGTGCAGCGTGTCCAGAAATTTCACTGCCTTCGTGTTTGAGGCTGAATCTGCTGATGAGTCTAAAATCATCCTATGCAGTATAGCACAAGGCTTTGGAAGAACATCCTGGTTTGTCTAAGAACTGATGAGGTCTCTTATTGGCTGGCATAACCATGACAGGGTGGAAAAGCCCAGATAGAAGTAAACTAGCTACTGCTACATATACCGCAATTATAGTATTAACGAAGTTACCTAAGTAAGAGTGAGGTAGACTTTTGACAGTCACACAAATATAAACCTTGGCCTTGACAACATTGAACGTTCACGCTTTAATGACAATGATGACAAGTGGACAACTAACCGTCACAAATTCTCACAATTCAAGAACCATTGTGACAATGCTGCTGACACACCAAAGTTTTTCTTGACTGTTAAATACACTAAACCAGTGTAACGTTTATGTATGTATAGAGGTAAGTAACAATACTCCATCGTTACCTTCAGCGTAAAAATATACAGCAATACAAGTTCCTAACTCATTCTAACTTGGCAGTGTATGACAGAATATGAAATTGTAGAATTCTCAGGTTCCTTTGGTGTCTTATTGCTTGGCACAAATATATGTTTGTTGTAAATTTGATGCATGTACATTTATGAATACAGTGTTGTTACATGTTGTTCAGGGTGAAAGAGGTGACAGGCATTGGGAATGGAATCTCATTTCATATTAATGTTAAAATGTGATTTGATATTAATGTTGATGCATTGCCAGCCACAGCATGTCAAAATACAACCAAACTACTGTGATATTGTGGTATGGGAGAGCAGCCCATAATGCTTTTTATTTGTATTCAAAACCAGTATCTTAGTGGAAATCCCTATTTTGTGTATTGGTTTTGTAGAATGTCATTTATCTTTGTAACCTTGTTGTTAATATTTTATGTGGGGTTCTGTGCCCCATTGACATTGTTACATTGGGGATTGGCCACTTATGTTATGGGTGCAGAATCCAACATCGACATCGACAGCAAAATGGAATTTTTCCATGCGGATGAAAGATTTTTATGATTTTCTTCAAACTTATTTCATGGAAACCAGTTTTATAGAAAAAAAATCAACTTCTTTAGTTTGGTCCAATCTTCAAATTATTGTGTTATAAGAGATATTGGTTTGTCCCTTAATTATCCTGAGTGCTGAAAAAATCGATATCATTAGGCTCATGCCTGTATCATGGGACCTGATCAGTAACATGTATTGTGTTTCTGGAATTTTCATTAGCAGAGCTATGCAATTAGTTGATAGCCTGAGCATAGCCCTGTGTGGTAAAACCTTTGAGATGTTACCCCATGCAACATGCATATGAAATTTTATAGCAAAATTTAGAAAAAGAGCCATATAATTTGTGTTGCACTAGCTATAAATGAATGATGCCCTGGTCATAGCCCAGGGGCAGATTGGCCATATAGTTATTGATTGGCCATATAGTTAAAGTTATCATGTTATTGATATTATGTGCAATTGTTATTGACCACAGGTCACAGCCACCAAGTTTACATTTAGTAATGAACAGTATTGATATTACCGGTAGGTCTATTGTAATGCATGAACTTGTAATTTATTTTAGTTTCTGATGGTGCAGTGACTGCAGTCTGCTTTTCAACTTTCTACATTCGTTGACAATGTTGTATATGTAAGGAAATTGTATATTGGAAATTTCCACCTTTATAGAAGAGTTAGACACAGGATTGGTGACATGTTGAGGTATTGTTGGTGGTGGAATAAACTGTTACTAACTTTTCAATCTTCAAATATTAGTGCAAACTATTATAGTCAATGGTACTAACACAACTGAATAAACCACTACAGCATGTGTAACATTACTAGTATGTGTATTGATATAGACTTTGGTTGATATTGATATGTGATCTTGATGATCTTCAGTTAAATGTTCTCCTCTTGCATACCGGTAATTTAAAAAAATCACTAAAGCAATGCATTGAAGGAGGTAACAATCAGGACTATAACTTATCACATACATGTAAATTGTTTTCTTTAATGACTGTGGTGAAGGTAGTACATTTGAATTATGTAGGGGTATGAATTAAATCCAGTATTGGCATTGATTAAAGAGCAGATAAAAAGTCATACTTTAAAAGTGTATACAAACAAGGTACTGTTCCCACAGCAACACATTAACCTACTATTCTGAAAGACCAAAGAATATATCTAGCTTCATCTATTGACCCAAACCTACTAACCTACTTTGTGTGAATGGATGGGTTACAAAGGACAACAAGCCACACCTGTCTGGTTTCCTGTCTTTCTGGACAAAGTGAACAAAATCATTATTGTCAATTCATTGGTTTCTACTTACAGTGTCTGTATGGGCTGACTGAACAAAAGTACTGGAGTAGCAATAAGGAAAGGAAGAGGACATTGTGCCCTGAATAACTTGAAGCAGCCTTGCCTGTGTTTATGGAGAGTATCAAGTCACAGAAGCGCCAACTCAAGTCAAAGTGGATTCAGAGGGCTCATCTGACTGTTTGTACTCAGGTGTCTGAATATAGATGTTGGCTTGTGTCCACCCATGTACATAAACAAAAAGACCAGGAAGGTGTCAGCCTGTGAGGTAGAAGGAAATAGACGACCATGGAAAAACTGTTGGCACAACAAAAGCAACAGCACAAAACTGGCTTTAATCTATTTCATAGGATGATGGAGTCAGGTCAACACTTCTTACTCCCACATCTTCCATAATATCTCTGTTTCTGTTACATCTCTTTTGGATATCTTTTTAACACAGTGCACAGGGAGCTAATCATAATAAATACTCATCTGACCAAACATTTGCAGAAAGCGAAATATTGCTGACTGATGTTAAAGTAACTTGAGTTTGCAAGGGTGACATGATTTTGCTTTCTACAGCCTAACCCATTGATATTGTCATTCTCATAAAGTCAATAGTGTACTTACTTAGAGTTCATACCACAAAAAGATTCACATTGAGTTTCTTATATGAAACTTCTTGGCTACTAGTGAGTTAAAACAGGCACAAACACATCTAAAAACTGTTAACTTAAAAACAATAAATTGCATTGTCTTGTGCAAAGTCATGACGTGGTCCACACCTCTTCAACACATTAGCAGCTTGGTTCAAGTCACACTTTCTGTGGCAAGCCTTCCACAAATTCCCTGTGAAGTACAGAAGTATATGATAAACAAAAAAAAAACCCAGTCAATTATGGTCGGAAGTAAAACCATCAAAATATACTGCTGCATCATTGTATCTGCTTGTCTGGCAACAACACCAAAAGAATCAAAATGTGTTGGCAGTTTTATAGTAGATTTGTAATACATATTAACCTATGGTGTAGAAATAAAGCGATAGATGCCATATTTAACTACTTAATGTCATGTAACAATCAACTCATTATAGAAGAACTCTGCCACTTCATATACACATGTTTCAAAAAGCGAGAAGAATCTCTGCGGACTGGGTAGGATAGATAGAATAATAGGTATTAGATAACAGTCTTGATAGTATTGTTGTAGAATGTAGTACCTATTAGATATAGATACATATATACATATATCTTTGTAATGCATTTAGCCCTATGGGCAAGAACATGCAATAAAGGTCATTGTCATTGTAATAATGGATCAATTTGCAATCTGTTTTTTCATTCTTTTGGTACCTCTTGAGTTATTTCCATGAGAACCTTACATCTCTCTCACTATACATTGAGGGAAGGTACATTTGTAACTACAACAATCCAGTGTTTGATTAAAGTCACATAGTATGTCTGTTGGTTACATAGTATGTCTGTTGGTTAACCTACCTTATAACCTGTGGTAGAGCCGGACTGTTGCAAATGTACTTATGGCCATAGCCATGGGATCTGTCGTAGCCTATAAAATGTACAGGTGGAGCACCTTTTGGTCTTGTCTCCTTGGCAATCTCATATAGCTAAAAAAAAAACAACATAAGTTTTCTTCCAAAGGCATTTTTGTTAATTACTAATTTTATACCAAATTGAGACATACATTATATCTATGACCGAAGTGTTGCACAAAACACAGAAAGTAGTTTGGTATGATACGCGTACTATCAGCTTTAAAGAATGTCATGGTTATATACTGAACGCTGAGAACATAAAAAAATGTCATAGTGACTAACTCTCAGTTTTTTTTAGCATTAGACTAAACCATAGAGGTAACAGCTATAGGTCTAAGCGCAGATCATTGAGATTCATATATATTCAAAAGCAAGTTGATTTCAACATTTCCTATCATCAGATATTTATTTAACAGCAGTTATGAATTTTTTTTTAGTTCTTAAGTGAAGACTATTTAGTGAACACCAGCGACACACCTTCTTTCCCAACCTGAAGGGAACAATGAAGTCATCTTCAGCATGGAGGATCAGCAATGGACATGTGATAGCAGCAACACTGGAGAAATACACCAACAAAACAGACTGTACTGAATTGTACTGAATTATGTTCCACTTACAACACTATATGGTGACAGAATGCCATTTCATGTGTTAGCAACACCTGGTTTCCTAAAATAGATTTTGTTTCCTTTGTGGAGAATTTTACATAGCACTTCTGGAGCTTTATACACAGAACACACAGTTGAAAAGTGAAAAAAAAATCGAAGGATGACTCACTGTTTATCACTTTCAAAGTAGATATTGTTTGCTTCCAGACCATCTGTGAAAAACCAGTCAAACCAAGGAAAGTATCTCCATGGCTGAGAAAAAAAAAACATTGAACACTCATTACTTTGTTATTGTTTTCTTTTACATTCCATGAATTAGAGGATGTCATGATTATCGAGACTCGTTCTTCTTCAATGCAAACAGTATATCTATTCTCATGCCTATAATATGCAGAGGCTAAATGTGGTATGAGGTAAATTTAACATAATGTTCCTGCCTTTAAAGAGTATGATTCTACAGGTAGATCAAAATAATGAAAGTTTTTCTTTTCCATGCATCTTATCATATCTTTACTGTACCTGGGCAAACGGGTGTCCCGAACACTCCTCTCGAGTACTTGTAAATGGGGCTTCTAACACTACTCCAGCTGGGCAATTACCTGGCCAAAACACAACACTTCTGTTAAAATGGACATGAGAAAGTACTTTTGAGCTTCAGCATTGCCTGGCTACATCATGATTCTAGAAGCCCTTAAACTGCTCAGGAAAAGGCCCAATCAGCACCTGACAGCAACTGTGTCACAAAGGTAAAGTTTTACACACAAACAATAAAGCTACTTGATTTGAGGCAAACTATTAGGATTTTTCATCATTTTCATATTTATCATTTTCAGAAATTAAATTTCATATCACACAGACCATCTTGTTTGAACATGGATGACATGTTGAAAACAAATTCATTGCACAAAATTTCAATAAAATCAAATGAAATTTTATGTCCTACCTTCTTCACACAACTTCCTGGTTATCTTTGATGTTACCCTGTAAAACATGATATTCACAATGTCATAAGAAGGACACTTCGAATGCTTCATTAATGTCTGCTATGTACTATTGATATTGTTCTATTCGTGTATGCAGATCTCTTGTAGCTTTGAGTAAATGACACACATTTATCACAGTAATGAAACATATACATACCCAGTACCCAGCGAATGTCCCCATAGAAACACAGGTGAGTTTCCTGCATGTTTTTTCACCCATGAGTGAACCACCAGGGCATCTTCACATATTCCTTCCTCTGTGGGGGAGCCAGTTGAATCCCCATATCCTATCAGATAAGGAAAACAGCTCATGATCAGATACAGTGCTACAGAGGTATGTTGTTTTGTGAGTGTTAAAGAGTAAGAGCTGAAGGAAACAAATGCTGGATCTTTGTAAAGTACTAGCATGAATACTGATGGACTGGTGATAGAAATTACATGTAAAGTAAAAGTAAAAGAAACTTTGTGAAATAAAATAATCAGAAAATATATATATTTAGATATCTTTTGTTATCACATGAAACATGAACTATGATTAGCATGATGGCACTGTTTTGGTAATAAACTAAGTGGATAACATGATATCACATAGTACCTCTATAATCAAAACTGACCACGTGGTAATTCAGCCCAGCAAATATCTGGAAGCAACAGCAAAATTAAGATATTAACAGCAGAATTTGAGTGAGTTGAGACCTGATTTCAAACAGCTAATTCACTTTTTTACAAACACAGCAGTAGGCTATTCACAGGCAAGACTATAGAATACTGATACCAAATGCATATACATGTACCAGAGATGTTCATATCAAGTCAAGTTTGATACTTGGCAGGAGAAATGTAGCCTGGTATCAAAATCTATTATAGCTGCTGAGTCTGTTTTGTTGTCTCCACCAATAATTTGCAGAGATAACTTGGCAGCTATGATAGGTTTGGAACTTTGGATACTAATTTGTTAGGAGAAATGTACCTTGTAGAGATCAACTCTGTGGGACCCTCCTCTGCAGCAAAACAGAATAGTACAGTCAATTTTACGCTATAAAGAAATACAATAAATACCTCAAAGTGACTTACTACATTTTTGTCTACTTTCGTCAGGTTGCTAAATGATTAAATAGTAAAGTTCTTTTATTCACAACCATTTACTTATTTATTACGGTTGACCACATACATAATATACATGGAGGGCATGGTGGAACAGGCCACCATGCCCATTTGTTTTACATTTCAATGACCGTCTGTCATCTTCATCAGGGCTAATAGGATGGGTTTACTTTGCACTGTAATAAGCGTATTTCAGACAGAGAGATTATCTCACAGGAAAGTGAACAAAGGTAACTTAAAGGAAGTTTACAACTTAAATTGTACCTCCTTGTATAAGGAGCACCTTTCAATAGCATATACTGTATCTATGTATACTACATTTTGTATCTCTTTGCTGATTAACCTGGCTGCAGATGGTTACCTTGAACACTTTCCTGTGGTACAACATTACTAGGTGGAATGCCATTGCAGCCTTTACTTACCTAGTGTTGGAATTTCCATGCAGGTAAAGGATAACTGGATTTGATTGGCTAAGAGCTTGATTAAAAGAAGCCTCATCTTTCTTCTCAACTTTCAAGTCAGCTGGCAGGATGTGCCTGGGTTACATACAAAAAGAGATGCCACTTATGTTTCCTTTGCAAATGATTATCATATTGTCCACTTCATAATATTATAGTCTGGGTACCATCCTGGTTACTAATTACATGTAATAGTTTATGTCTAACTCTGATAGCCATAGTGACTATTGTAGCAGACATAAACTATCCAGGATGGTACTCAAGCTATATTATTATGAGAACATGAATAAATTTACAGTAAATTATTTTCAATGCCTTAATACAGCTCATAAATTTCCCTGTGCCTTTGTAACATCATGTTTACACTGACACAATTCTGGCCCTCTTATGTCACATCCATAACCTGACCCATGTACTTACCACACTCCAAGTTTGATTCCATCTGTGGAAGGAAGGTAGAAATTTCTTGCTCCACTTAGTCCATAAGCCTCTAGGTCAGTCAGCGGAGGTGCCAGTGGCCAACGAACTTTGAGAGTGAGAAAGTCAGATTTAAATAGGGGAAAAGGAAACTGGAAAATATATCTATCAACACATGGTTTAAGTCTCTTTATATTCAGAACCCACATCCCTTATGCCAGTTGTACTGTAGGTTGCTTCACTAATTGATCACACTGTCTACCTTAAGTTACATTGCAGTGTTTAATCATTTAGATGGTAGTTCAACGTATGTCTGAAATTGATTATGGGTGTTTTACAGCAAAAAAAAAACAACAACATTACTGACGCATTTGTGCAAACACCACGTGAGCCATGATGGAGGGACACAGCTTCACCAGTACAGGGATGCCCACATAGACTCCAAGCAGCCCTCCCAGTACACGTCTCAATCCCCAGGGACTCCTTCCCCTGAACAGACAATAAAGTCACAGATTAATTTAGAGGCCACCTGCTCATAGCTTTGTGCCAAAGTGTGCATTATCTCATTCAAACTCATGTCAGTTCTGTTAATAATATCATAACGTTAGATACCAAAACGAAATCAACTTATTATTTTAGACCAAGTACTATTCCATGATATACGATGTATGGAAAGATGCACCTGGCACACGATTTAACTGATGGCAGGGCGGGGGTGGTGTCAAGCTATAATAATTTACGTTCAAACATGGAGTTAAAAAGAGACTTGGTTCAAACAAGTGACAAAGAACAATGTTCCCTGTTTTTCTCTTCAAGTGCTTTTCAAGGACTTTTCAATACGTAACAAAAACAACAGTCTGGACTGAAAAGAATGTATCATAACAGCGAGATTATCAACAACAGGACCCTTATATAACATCTTCTTGCGAAAAACCTGGAAGCAGTGATTCCTTTGTTGGCACTTTCGCAGGCAGCGGTCGCGGTATGGCTTCCATTCTGTTCACCAATAGCTCTGGATCTCAGCCTCATGGTGTAGTGAATATCGCACTCTTCAAAGGACGACAAAAATGGACCTCTCAAGTACAGTAAAACTCAAGCTTCTACACCACCCTTCTTCTACACTTTCAGTGAGCTTTCACAGTTAGAGATGATGGAAACAGCTTAGCGATTGACCTTTTACCTTTCATAGTTTTCAACCAGACGTTTTCTACCACGATTATTGATTGGTCAAAGAATTGGCGGGTTTCCAGGTACATCCAATCACAATGTACCTTATATGTATCTAGGTTATCCGTCTAGATCATTTCACTTATGAATAGGGGTGTGCTGTAATATATGTATCACAAGTACTATCTACCCAAATATGGTTTTTAGATTTCTAAATAGTACAATAAACAGTCTTATGAGTATTTTAAAGAGGTTTCTTCCATTATTTTTACCTCTTTGTTCCAATATAGCTAAATCTGCATCTTACCTGCAACCCTTTTTGTGAGTGGTGCGTTCCTTCCGGTTCTTCGGAGGGCTTTTCAAAACACCCAACCAGCTGCGGGTGCTGCATTTGATCCGTTGAAATATTTGCCATATATCAGCCTCTCAGGGCGAAAATGTACGGTGAGAAGGCTGTTGAGTTGATTCGTCAGCTCCATCGTTCGCCAGATGGGTCCATGCCGCCATTCAATGTAAGTTGTTATCAAGATAAACGTGTGTAACTGTCGCCACTGCTAGTTACTAACCAACAGAAATTGTGGACGTTTTGACTACTGTCCTTCCGGAAGCTCCCTTCCGCGACTAGCCGTGGCGACTCTTGATTCGGGCTTACCAAGGACATTATACAGTGTGTATAATGTCCTTGGGCTTACATAATTTGCATTACCCTCTTGCTGAATTAAAAGGGTGTCGAATTAATGATTCGTAGCGTTATGCCTACTATGTATATGAATATAAGATAAATATGAAAATTGATATAAATATCTGATCATTTCCAGGAGGACGGGATCCGACAAGTGCTTGAGGAGATGAGGGTACTGTTTGAACAGAACCAAGCAGATGTGTGAGTGGAACTCTTTTACATGTCCCCCGCTCTATTAAAGTTACCCTGGATGCCAAACTCGTTCTTCGGGCGGCAAGAGCCTTTCGCCCGCCGGTCTAAATTACTGCTACGGGGGAGTCTAGCCCGGGGGGAGTTTGGCCGCCCTCCAATACTCCTCTGCGGGCGAAGTACCCTGGCTGCCGAAAAAAACGGTTAGCGGCCTGTAAACTTGGCTGGCACCCAGGGTATATTAAAGTCTAACCCTTCCTCAAATCGTCCCCCCTCCCCCACTCTTCCCCTTCCTCAAATCTTACCCCCTACCCCACTCTTCCCCTTCCTCAACTCTGTCCCCACCTCAACTCTTATGCCTCTTAGGCATTGCCAAAAAATTATGTGTTCACCTGTGCAGTGTAACGTGAGCACATGATCACTGTTGGATCAGACAGGCGTGTTCCCTACACTTATTGCCTATATACTGCATGTAGGTCTCCTTTATCTCAAAGACACTAGTATAGGCTGAAGTACTGTAGTTGACATTTTTTTCCTTCAAATAGGAACAAAACAGTGGAAGGGGCACCTGGACTGTTTCCTGGGGTTCAACTCAGACATGCAGCCTTGGAGAGAAACAAGAGATGTCTGCTAGCCTACATGTATGTTTTAACTGTTCAAGTTTCACTCCAGCTCAGACAATAAACACTGTAAGGTATGAAGTTGACCTGTACATAATACAAGGTGCTACATGTATACATGAGTTCGTATCTAACCTTCTTAACGTTGTAGATAGAATTTTTCATCTTGTTATACAATTTGTAGTACATCATGGGCTTTTCTAAAAAAAAGGCATGAGGGAGCAGATCACTTGCATGGTGAGGGAATGAAGCAAAATTGTACAAAAGTAACAGTTTGTAATGGCAGAATGTATTGATTGTTATTTTGTTTTTATATTTTCACTGGAAAAAGATCACATTGAGAAAGACTTAATGTTGTTTACTACTAAAGCATGATACAGCCACTTAGGGTTCAATCTGAAAATTGATGAGGGTGGTGGCTGGTCAAATGAGGAGCAGCGCCCTTATTTCCTGCTTTAGAAAAATCCTGGTACATGGAGTTACATAAGAAAAATGATATGTGTTTCTCCTGTGTGCAGGTGCAACAGAATGGAGAGACTTCGTGCCATGAGATGGGAGTTTGGTAGTGTGCTGCCTCCAGACATTAGGTACAACCTGTCAGAACAAGAGGTGAGGTCATACCTTCATACCGGAATTGTGATATTCTCCAGATGGTCTTTAGTATGAAACGCTAATGATAATTTGATGAAACAGGGCTCTCCCCAAGAATTCGCTATTCTTCATCAACTGATTAGGGAGCACTTGTCCCCTAAGAATTTCTGGGGAGACTCCTGCGGAAGCAGCAGCTTGGTTAAATTTCTTGATGTTCTGTGCTGCTTTGCTATGTTTTGCTGTCCTTTATTTCCAGATCCAGTGGTTCAGTCGCTATAACAAGTCCCTGGCTACATACATGCGATCAATAGGTGGTCCCAATGGAGGAGGGCTGGACCTCACACAGGTATATGACAGTGTTTTTTATATGCACCAGTCAACTTGTATAAGTTTGAGCAAAAATAGAAACTACTTTCTTATCTTTTTGAATGAGATGTACCCATGCTTTGATTAAGTGTTGCACTGCCACTTCTGCTTTACCACAGTAGGCACTTGTTATACATGTATTACTTTAATGAAATTTCCACCCTTTTCCTTGTCAAAGAAACCTCTCAAGCTACACACGATGCACTGTGTCTCAAGCTACACATGATGCACTGATCTATGTCTTTTTCCTCCGTGTCAGGACCTGAAACCACCCAAATCCTTGTACATTGAGGTTCGGTGTTTGATGGATCATGGAGAATTTGAAACAGAAGATGGCACAATTTTGCTACTCAAGAAAGATAGTCAGGTGCAGACAGTTTTCATCTTTTTATCCTTTCTTGGTGATTTCAACTCTCACTTCCTAGTTTGTGACACGATACTTAAGTCTGTATTGTGTGATTGAATGAACATAAATTCATCATTTGAGTAGATTTGAGCAATGATGCGTTGACTGCGATGAGTTAACTTTATACTTTTTCTCTTACAGCACTTTCTACAGAGGTCACAGTGTGAGCACCTAATACGACAGGGGGTTCTGGAGCATATCCTCTAGAACTACATGAAGAGAAAACAGAGGGATGAGGTTACCAACATCAAAACTATCATGTACTAGGGAGTGACGAATGGGATTAAGCATTGTACAAATGACTGACAAAAAGTAAACACCTTTCGCTTGGTTGACATTGCTCACAAAATGACAATACATAAGAAGCTTTTTATCTTCGGGTTACAGTTTAATCCACACTGATTGGTCTCGTACAAGGTCATGTCTTGTACAGGCAGGTGGCAAGCACAGACTTGATAAACATGATAACAAAGAATCAGTCTTTCTCTCAAACACAAATGTTCATAAGGTATAATAATAGCCTGCTACCATGAGTACAGTGTGTTACTATGGCAAGCACAAAACCTCTTTGGCACATACTACTTTTACAAATATCTCACCTTAAGATATGGGAATGTCTTGCACTTTATACAACAATACAGTTTTCTGAAGGGAAAACAATGATTGTTCCAATGAAATCTATCACCTACACTTATGCCTCTTTATCATGGCTTAGCTTACAGCAATAACTTAACAAAGACACTGAAGTACATAATACGTGTAAAAGTAAAACTACACAACAAAAGCCTCTCTTCTAAATCTTCTAAAACTAGTATTAATCACAACTTCTACATCAAGAGAAACACAACAAGGATGAGGAGTTGAGCCAAAACCTGATGAATTCTAGTATTTAAAAAAAACAAACTTTTTTTGCCAAATTTCTGGTGTACATAAAGTTGTACTTGTTTTTCTGAATAACGGCCATCTTTGATGATGCCTGATGATCGCTATTTCTATAATTTGTTTCCATTTTGCTTCAACCCATTCATGATCCTTCATTGTCATTCCCTCTTATTGCTTCTACACCGGAATGTTATATGAAGTGTAGAGCCAATTAAGACAAGATCCAGTACTTTTCAATCTTGTGTATCCAGGCATGAAATGACATATTTAGCAAATACAACAAACCTGGCCAGTCACCAGAACACAACTCTAACACCATAGTAACTTTCATATTTAAAAGATTTAAAAAGTTTTGTTCATATATCAAAACATTCCACAAAAGCTGGGACTAAAATGTCATCATCTTAAACCAAAGCTCCAAAGGCTTATTTCTAATACAATTTTTGACCTGTCTTGTAAAAAGTCATCATCTATATCACTTGTGTTATTTCCATATATAGCTGTCAAACAGTGTTCTTACATGTAACATTCAACAGGTTGCTGACAATGTATGACAATAAGAGTTGTCAATAAACATTTTCTTGTGACATCTTTCAGTTTTCCTTATAGTAAAAGATAGCCAAAAGATGGGTTGTCACTTTCATTTAGATTTTACTCCTTGCATATGGAATGTTCATCCATAACAAATCACCATAACATGGGTTTTTCTGCTTGCCTTCAATGGCTCTATGATATAGACACAACATAGTTTACATTCTCTGTTTTAACATAGACTACATTCTCTGTTTTAGCAGTCACATTATGATCCTAAAACAAAGTGCAGATGCTCAAGGTGGTACACTATGACAGGCCACACCAATTTAAATTGTTGGTTTTCAGATTTTTTCATAAAAATATGAACCGTCAGCGAAAAAAATACAGGTCTAGGCATCCTCTTATAGCCCCAAATGCTACGATAGGAACCTTGAAGTTACACAAAAGGCTGGGTTAAGATTCAAACAATGAATGTTGAACTTTTAATCAAACCAATGCATTGATAGATGGAAAAACTGTAGGAATAAGGAAGAAAAGGACTTTCCTCAACTGTTGGGGGCAAAAATTGAGCATTTTGTAGTTGATTCAGAACCAGAATCTTTTTTTTTTTGCAAATCAGAAAAAAATGAAGAAGCGAATCCGAGAACCAACAAATGACATTGGTGTGGCTACAGGATTTTGTAACCAATAAGCTATATTGATATCGGGAAGGCAGTATCAGAGAGATCGGGGTGTATGGGGTGTCAGATAGGGACAGTACCTCTGCAGGGGGGGCTTGCCATGCCCTTTAGGCAGTAATATTCGCCCATAGGGTAGCTTGTCCTGCTTTGATATCACAAATATCAATAGATATTCTGACAGGAATTTTAGTAAGTGGAGGGTGTCATTTGATGGCAACTGAACTACATGTAGTTCTGAACAGAGCATTATTCGCAGCAGTTTTGCACTGACCAATATCAGAAATGGAACACATATATATACAAGTGACATTCAAAGCAATGATTTTTCTTTCAACAGACAATGCAACAGAATGAAAAGTATTTCTCAAATAGCTCATTTCAATGGCTCTATGCTTGGATAACTGGATGTGATATAATTTAGAAACCACAATATACTCACAGAATACCATTAGCAGTGATTTTGACCAATTTTACAACATGGATAAATCTCTGTCGTAAATTGTTTCTTGTAGTCACTATTTATATATACATGTACTACATACATGTAACGGTTACTGGTAACAGCATGCAAGATCAACTTCTAAACAACAACAATCATGAGCAGTCTTGTTACCATTTACTCTTGACAGTCACTGTTAAGTTCTCATGTCAATGCTAACATTTAAACATCATCAATATCTCCAGTCTTCAGTTGTCTTTGGGGTCTTATGGAGAAATGCCATTCACAAGAAATGACACACACACATCTGACCACTACAAACAATACCAGTTCAAGATACAATGTCAAGTCAAGTAAGAGGACCTACAAAATGGAAGACCAGCTTCCTTAGCATGGTCTGAAATGTTGTCCATAGGATGGCAGAGTTTGTCATACTGTTATTTGCTGAAGTAAATCAAGCATCATCATCAGCAGAGTATCATAGTTTCAAAGTGGTTTAGAAAGAAGTGAAGTGCTGTTATGGATATCAAGGTACCAAAGGATTGTTTTACAATCAGGTGTGGTACAGTCTACACAATTTTTGCCAAATGTACTTTGAAAATGCTATTTCTGTGGGCTAACCTGTGACTTAATAAAGTTCTTGATCACTTCACTTTGTAAATAGGCATTTTGTGTCAATATGAATGATGGCTCAACTTTTTTTGCACTGTTCATGTACTCCATTATTGAAATGCTGATCTACTGATATCACTGCAATGGCACATTGTCCTTATGCTGCAGCAGGCACCCATACATTGTTATCACAATAGTGAAGAAAAATGCTTTATAATTGAAACATGCAGGCCTTAATCTTGTGGTTGGTCTGAACTACAGAAATATGAGTCATTCTACCACTGATTTTAGAGGCTGAGGACAGTCGATCAGGGTTTTTTAAAGACAGCCAAAATTATATTCATTTGTTACCAATATGGTGCCAAGAACAGGAACATAAAACAAACATTAGTCTTCTCAAATATATTACTCCCTGTAGGTCCAAATTTTGACTTCTGTTACAATTAATCAAGCTTTTATTGTTGGCAACTTTATTATCCTGCAGTCCTACATCTAATGCAAATAACAGAAGGCCAGCTTCTCTTTTGGTAGCAACCTTTAAGTACACGTTTGTTTTATATTTTGCCCATGTAAGGTTCCAGCCCAGTTTGGTCAGAAAATAATTCAATATAGGCAAAAAGGGGATCCAGACTTGGGTTACTCAGAGAATGATCATTTCACTGCACCAGCAGAGAACGAGGGTTCTTGGACAACTTTTTGCACGATAAATACGTCCTACTGGTAAATGGGTGAACAAGACCATTTATGATGTGAAATTCAACCAATGCAACACATGATCACATAAGTGTGGAAAGGGGGCAAAGTGAATTTTAAACATGACAGCAAATCAGTTTCATCATTCTATAGATTCACAGGTCAGTCTATGTTTCACAGGGTGTTTTGTAATATCAATAAGATTCTTGGCCCAAGCAGAAAGAAATGCAAGGCTACAATATGCACCTGCAGTTGTCTTATTTTATTTCTAACACAGCACAGAATTTTGTAATTTAGTTCTTCCCCTACCACCTCTAGTATTTATTAATTTCATTGCACAAGTTAAAATGCTATGATCAAAAACAAAGATTCACCTTCTCCAAACTGCCCTTTGACAACAGGCATCTTTCAAATCTTCAATGAACAGAAAACATATAGACTGATCATGGCATGCTTCAGGGCCCTTCCAGTTTTCATCCTTATCTGAAAATGCAGCCTGTCCTTCTATCTTCTGAATAAGCAAGTTGGGGTAAATCCTATTAAATAACACACTACACTGGTGGGAAACAAGGACTGCTTGCAAGCCTCAAAAGAAAAGTTGAGCTGCCCTGAATGGAGTAACAGGTAGGACTTGACTTTATTATAAAGACCCTGGATCCTATTTCTTCCTTCAATATGGGTTATTTTTGGGATGTATGACTATGAGCTTCATTAAGTGTTTGGTCCTGCAGACTATAAATCAGTACAGATGAGGAACATTAGACCACACAAATACGTTATCCCAGACATGTGACAATTGAGAACTGTTCTTACCTAAGTTGAAATGAATGTACATGTACTTTGGTTTTTGTATTAATAAATCTGGTTAAACAGCAAATTAATGTTACAGTAGTTGTTATTTTAGTGTCTGTGTAACCCAGGTCTGGTAGGAATATCATACAATGATTACTATTTGTTTGTTGAGTCCAATTCCTGACTTAGCTTTCGAAGCACCATCAGAATGAATGTTTTACCTGAAGCATTTTAGAAACCATTCCCAGAATCAAACCAACTCAACCATTCAGGGGGAATCCAAACAGATACTATCACAAAAGTTACACAGGAGACGTCTGAAGTACTGTAATTTTCACACTGCTGAATTTTGAAAGTAACAGTCAGAAACACTGAGTCCTTTCAATTCTAAAATTACTGGGCTCAGATTGTTGAGACATCCATACAATCACCATGTATCTTCACAAATCCATGAACCAACCATTCATCCAACCAATCTGATGAAACAATGTATTGCCTATCAGTATACACATTTTGCAGAGTCACACAAGGATCACAATCATCACATCCACACCTATCAGAACTTCTTCTCAGTCACTAATTCTGTTGAATGAATCTGCTGTTTGCTGCCTTGACTGTTACATGTACCTTGTCTTGTTGGGTACAAGGTAACACAAAGTTAAGGTAAGACTTGAGTTCTATAGAATTACTAGCATTGTACTAAATGGCAGATATCTGGTATCAAATCTGATTGTGTGAATGACCACATGTTGGCCATTAGATGACAACACACAACCCTATCAGGGGAATAATCATTCCCCTGGCCAGTAACGTACATGTATATTACTGTATGTCAACAACAATAGAACTCAAAGTGACAAAGATGAAAACCAGTAAAGTAAAAAGTTTTGCTTGTCTTCTATAATCCAATATATCTCTCAATGGGCTTATTAGGTAATTTTGCTAAGGTTAAACCAGGCTTTGAGCATACAGTCGTATATGTAATACATGTAGTAATAAATACAGTATGTATGTAATGTACATACGGCCAGCCTCATGGTGTTTTTGGCTGGAAACAATATTCCTAAGGAGCCCTGGAGAGAAACAGATCTTATCGGGTAAAACTCTACTCTTCCAAATACTTTTAAAAATCAACAGCAGTATCTCTACAGCTTTTTAAGATGCAAATTGAAAAGTAAAAAATAAAACTAGTACAAAAAGGACAAGAAATAGGGCCTGTGGACACATCTTGACACAGCAA